GGCGCACGTGTGCCTGGTGCAGCGGGACTTGCTGGGGAGCCGCCTGCCTTCCCGGCGGGCCTCAGGCCTGGCGCCCAATGTGGAAAGGCCGCAGTGCGGCCACCAGGCCCTAAAGGCTGCCCTGAAAGTTGCCCTGAAAGTCACACAAAGACAACCTGCTGCTGGAGGGCAGGCATGCGGTGCTCCGGGAAGATTCCGGAGGTAGGGAAGGAAGGTCATAGAAGGGAACAATTGCAAGCGGAGATCCCGAAGGTTCTGAAAGCTCTGAGAAGCAGCCTGGGGGCTGGAAGGCGGCTCCTCTGACCTCAGTGCTGGAGAAGACCATTAAGCAGAAAACTAAAGAAACCGATTTTACATCATTTCCCAGGTGGAGAACAGTTGGCATGTAAGCCCCTGACCAGTGCCCAGCCTCTCCTCTGTCAGTCTATCTCACTCTTAGGTACCATGTTCTTTATTCTCTCTTAACTGCAACTCATTTTTAAACTAGATTGCTTTTAAAAGAAGACTAAATAAAGTTTCCCTTAAGTTATTTAGGCGGTGCTGGGGCTGCTGGGGCTGCTGGGGGCCTGATAGAAGACACAAACACGCAGGGGGGCGGGCTGTACCCAGCAGCCCCAAGGCCCACCACCTTGGTGCTGGGGCTGCTGGGGCCCTGATCAAAGACACAGATCCGCAGCCCCAGCACCCAGCAGCCCCAAGCCCCGCCATCAAGGTGCTGGGGCTGCTGGGGGTATCAGAGACACAAACCCGCAGGCCTGGCACCCAGCAGACCCAAGGCCTTCACGGCAGCGCTAAGGAGCAGCAAGATGAGCAGTAGGAAGCAGCAAGCAGGGGGGCAGTAAGGAGGGAGGGGTCCCAGACTGCGAGTGGGCACATGCTGGGCTAAGGGACCCCCCACCCATCGCCAGTGCACGAATTTCGTGCACCGGGCCTCTAGTCTATATATATAAAAAGGCTAAGTGTCCATCCTTCCCTCTGACCAGTAGCTATGATGTGTACTGACCACCAGGGGGCAGATGCTCAACACAGGAGCTGCCATGATGCACACTGGCCATTTATTTTTTAAATATATTTTATTGATTTTTTACAGAGAGGAAGGGAGAGGGATAGAGAGTTAGAAACATCAATGAGAGAGAAACATCAATTAGCTGCCTCCTGCACACGTCCTACTGGGGATGTGCCCGCAACCAAGGTACATGCCCTTGGCTGGAATCGAACATGGGACCTTTCAGTCCACAGGCTGACGCTCTATCCACTGAGCCAAACCGGTTAGGGCCGCACTGGCCATTTAAAAATAAACAACACCCCAGACCTGGTGCCCACAAATCAACACTCAGCTTCCCCCAAGTAGGACACAGGCTCTGCCACCACCCCAGAGTGACACCCCACCAAATCGCAGCCAATGCTGACAAGACCCCATGGTGCAAAATGCGGCCCACAGCCCAGCCCAGTCCAGTCCGAAATGGTCGCTGTGGGCGCCGAGTAATGACATCACATAGCAACACCCAGCTTCCTCTCCCTAGTGACTAGCCTCAGAGTTTCTTCAGCCCAGGAACCGGACTTGCTTTATAGCCTGGTGCAAACATTTTACACTATAACCAAATGTCTGTGAAGCATTTTCCCATGCCTCATCTCATTTGATCCTCATCACAGAAATCCTGGAGTAGGTAGATAGGAGACTCTATGGAATCCTATTTTCTTTTCATTAGCCGGAAAATGGAGATTTAGAAAGCTTAGAAACTTGACCCGACTGAAAAGAAGTAAGAAATGGTGGACCTTGAAAATGA